TGTTCTTTTGCTCCTGCTCAAGGGCACCTGCCCAGAGCAGTCCTCCCACTGCTCCATTTCCGCACTCCTCCACTTCTGCCTCCCTCCTGCTCTCTATCCAACGGACTGATTCTGAGAGGGCAGGGGTTGGCTCGCTGTTCTGTTCATCCTTAGACGCCAGCTTCCGGGCTGACCTGAGTCCCCCAGAATGTTCAGTCTGGGCAAACACTGCATCCCATCCCCACACACTGGGCTTCCAGCTCTGCACACTTGTAGACACCTGAGCCTGCTGGGTTCTGTTCTGCAGAGAAAGCCAGGGTTCTCAGGTTATCTACCCACAGCCTTGACCATCTGCAGCCTCAGCCAACCAGGGACTCAACCAACCTCCGCTGCATGTAGGACGAGGTGCCAGCTGCCTTTAGGAACCATGGTCTCTGGGGAGTCCTGGCCAGTGAGGTTGCTCCCAACTCCCACAGCTGAGCAGGCTTCTGGAAAACTTGGACAGACACATTCACTTGCTTCCTAGACTTACCAATCTGTCCTCCTCACTACACTGTCCAAACTTGGGCAGGTAGGAGTACATCTTACTCAACTTCAGGTCCTTAAACCAAGTACTACGCCCGGCTGTCAGTAGAACTCACAGACTCATTCCTCCCAGACACACTCATCAAGTAGCCAGAGCTGACAGAATGCACAGAGGCCAGGGGTACCCAGCGCTGCCCAGCCACAGGACCGGCTTCAGCAGAGGATAGCAGGTGGCTGGCGTAGGCCATCACATCTGAGCTCCACACGCTCACACGCCATCTGAACGCCTGCCTTCCAGCAAGGCCTGTCTGGGAAAGCTCTCCAGGTGCTCTGAGGATGTTCCTGCTTTTAGGGAGGCTGGCCACATGGTGACCCTCCCCGGGGACCATGCTAGCCTCTGCAGTAGGTCAGGGAGAGCTTCCATGAAGGGGCATTCTTCGTTGAGAAGTCCTGCTGGCTTAAACTCTGCTACAATCCCTGGCTGGAAAGTGACATGGGGCCCCTAACCCGATTATTTCTTTCTCTGAGTTTTTTTAATGGGTTGTTTGGCAACTGGCCACCCAGAAGGATGGAGCAACCTGCCCTTTCCAGCCTGCATATTGTTGACATAACCCTAGTTGTC